CATCCAGTGACTCCTCAGTGGGACCTGTCCTTCATTTTGCAGGTACTCATACGTTTGCATTTGAATCCCAATGTCGTGGCACAGTGCCCCACCCCCATGCCAGATTGGGTTACAGCAGGCCAGAGTGGTTGCACAAGGCGGTAGCCAACCAGGGAGGGCCTGTTAGAGAGCCAATCAGGACCAGTATTACAGCCAGCCAGTCAGGGCTAGGCTAGGCCCTATATAAAGGCTGCCCAGGCAAGAGGCAGGGAGTTTCTCCCAGACCTTGAAGGGAGAAGGTCTGTCTCCTGAGCGAAGGAGACCAGCACCCAGGACAGTGCAGTGCTGGGCAGGCTTGGGGGAGCTGAGGAGAGCTCTAGCCCAATACCTGCCGGGCTGCAGGCCCTGATAGAAGGGCCCACAAGGTGCAAGGGGGCTGAAGGGGAAGCGGCCCAGGGAGGAGAGGCGGACAAGGGGAGAGAAGGAGGGCAGGGAGGCTTTTGCCAGAGGGTTCCTGGGCCGGGACCCAGAGTAGAGGGCGAGCCTGGGTCCCCCCCCTTCCCCCTTGTACTATACCTGGCCATTAGGAGTGGCCATAGCGGACTGCACCCGACCCCTGATAGAAGGGGTTAGACTTTCGGAATGTGGTTGGCCACTGCGGCTGGGGTGAAGAGAAAAGAGTGCTGTTAACCCTCCTCTGGAAGGGGGCGAGTGTGGACTTGGGGGCACTGCCAGAGGGCTGTGTCCCGAAGAGGACGCCGCTGAGCAAGGAGCAACGCGGGTCGAGATGCCAATCTAGGGCGAGAGACGGGTGGGACACCACCAGCAGAGGGCTTTCCGCATGAACTGAGCTAATTCCCAGAGTGAACAGCAGGAGGCGCTGTGGTGGTGAGTCCCAACCCCATCACACCAGGAGAAAGTCTCCTTCCCCAGATGCTGCCCAAGCTACCCTTTTAAAGTGCTGCTTTCAGTTGTCATAATATCTTGTCAGATGGATGGGAGAATTCTAAGCTCCCTCATTTTCTCTCTCTCCTACACATGTGTGCACACCTCCTTCAGTATTTTCCAGGAAAGATGGTATTTGTTCTCCTGCCAGAATTCATCCTTGAAGGGGACATGAATTCTGCTTTAGTTAACCTGTCCTGTTCCCAGCTTTATCCAAGCCCTGCTTCTCTCCAAGATGGGAAATTTCAGTCCTGGTGTCAGAGGTGTGAGCTTCTACTGAATTCTTTCATGAGAGTTCAGAAAGCTTCATAGCACACACAATTGTTGAAAACTGCTGCAAGGGTGTAAAAGCTCACTTTAACCGCCAGATAGGTAATGACCAGTATTGTTTGCTTATTAGCCAGCCAAATGCTAGTGTACCAGTTTGGTCAAACATCACCTACTGTTCATAAAGCACTATCCCTTAGACTGCATACGCCTGAGTGTTCCTTCAGTTGTAGAATTCTGCAATCAGCATGATAAGGTAGGCCCTTCTCAGAGCACCACGTGGTGCATGCAATGTATGTCTTTGACTGAATCCCTTGGAAGGAAATGAGAAGAGTGATGTAGAACAAAAGAAGTTTAGTCTCTTTAATTCCTTTTCTTAGTCTTCTCCCCTGTCATCCTTCATCCCACCCTCCTTTCCTCTGAGGAGAACCCACCCTATATTCTTATACCTTTTCTGATTTCTGTGTTAATTGTCTGTGACATTCCCCTGTTATTATCTGGACTAGTGATCTGCTAGGTCACTCCAGTCCTCGATTCTGGGAGCCAGCCTTACCCTGCTCTGCTGTGAGAATCCCCACTCCTGGGCTGTTCACGCATAGCCTCTAACATGTATGCTGCTCCTTGGATTGTGCAACCAAATGACACTAGCCAATATCTCTGGTCCCAGACACAACCCTAGGAACCTCCGTCTTGCGGTGTCCAGTTATGCCCGCTGGATGCTGCAAGCTTATATGAGTTTGCCAATTTAACAAAGAAATTGATATGTACTAGGCTTGCTATCCCAAGGGGAGTCTCTGACACGCTTCAAACCAAATGCACTGTTTCAGGTAGAATAAACAAACAAATTTATTGACTACAAAGATAGATTTTAAGTGATTGTAAGTCAAAGCACAAGAAGTCAGATTTGGTCAAAGGAAATAAAAGCAAAACGCATTCTAAGCTGATCTTAACACTTTCAGTGCCCTTATAAACTTAGATGTTTTCACCACAGGCTGGCAGGTTGCCCTTCAGCCAGGCTCTCCCCTTTGATCAGCACTTAAGTCACTTGGTGGTGATGGTGTCTGTAGATGGAGGTGGAAGAGAGAGCCAGCATGGCAAACATCTCTCCCTTTTATCATGTTCTTTCGTCCCTATTGGCTCCTTCCCCCCTTCGCCCCCCCCCCCACTTCAGAGTCAGGTGAGCATTACCTCATCCTAGTCCCAAACTGACCAAGGGAAGGGGGGGTGACTCATTCGAGAGTCCAGCAGATCCTTTGTCACTCCCTAGGCCAGTGTCTTGTTCCTGTGAGGCTGGGCTGGGTTTGTTTCATACATGCCCTGATGAGGTGTGAACTGCCCCTCTGCTCTTGGAGAGTTTTGCCTGGGCCTCTGCTCCTGGAGAGTTTTTGTCTAGGCTTTTTTTAGGCAATGAGGACACATTTTCAGCCTCATAACTATATACATGAAATTACAACCTATAACATTACTATAACAACAATGCTCAGTGCATGATGAGCCTTCCGAAGACACCCAACATGACAAACTTTGCATTGGATACCACACAAACATGTTATAAGGATGAAGATGAGGGTGCAAGGGTGTTTCCCCGAGGTACAGTGTGTCATGCTGTCCTCCCTCTCAGAGCCTCTCTTTCTGGGGGGAAGTGAAAGGACTGACCTCTGATATACAGGGCTTGGTTGACAGAGTCTTTGCTACTGTGTTTCCTTGTAGTCAAAGCCATAGCACTTTGTCCTTAACTGTTGGTTCCTGTTAGCCCTCTTTTTTCCCCCATACTATTATGACAAAAAGGAATTATTAGGGTGTGATTTTCTTTTGTCTTATATATGTATGAATGACAGTTTCTTTAACTACACTAGGGTGGATCTGTGGAAATGTGCAGAGCACTAATGAAAGTGCGGGACACCTAAAAATTGCCCTTTCACACTTGTTTGGTGAGATGTATTTTTTTTCCAAACTCTTCAATAAGTATGAAAGGAGCTATCAAACTGTGAAACCACGTGCATAACTGGTTGTAAACATAGCTAGAACCTTAGAAGTTCTGTTCCTCTGTAGTCTCCATTGCAGCCTGTTGGGCCTTCACATTACTTTTGGATTATTAAATTGCAAAGAATTCTTGTACAGTAGCTTGCCCCCTTTCACACTCTCAGCAGACGAAGTCCCCTTGTGTGGACAACTCAAAAGACTAAACAAAGAGGAAGAGGGTACTGGGTTTATTTCAGTTCTCCCTCTTTCACTCCTCCTTTATTACATAAATAGAATAAAATACCATATATGTTGATATCATAACTAATAAAACTATTGCAAACAATGTTTTTCAGCCTTGTTTTGATCATGTATTCCAAAGTAATGTCTGCCTGACCTCCTTACTAGTTGTCTATATGTATTTTGGGACAGCTTTTATCCACAATGAGGTTCCTTCTTTTCCTTTTCTGATTATATAACGTAAATATATTTTAATTAAGGTAAACAGATACTCTTGTGCCAAATATAAGGTTCATGGCTCAATGTGGTTAGCACTGAAACTAAGCAAATAGTAAAGGAGTACTTGTGGCACCTTAGAGACTAACCAATTTATTTGAGCATAAGCTTTCATGAGCTACAGCTCACTTCATTGGATGCATCCAGTGAAGTGAGTTGTAGCTCACGAAAGCTTATGCTCAAATTGGTTAGTTTCTAAGGTGCCACAAGTACTCCTTTTCTTTTTGCGAATACAGACTAACACGGCTGTTACTCTGAAACCTAAGCAAATAGTGGAAGAGTTTTCAAGAGTTACTCCCTAGCATTCAAAAGAATGTTTTATTTGATTTCATGTTCTTTCTGAGTAAGTCGAAGCACTCAAGGTTTACTAGTGTGAATACATATGGAAACAAAATTTTAGCATGAATGTTCAAAAGATGTAATTTCAAATTGTAATATTTGTAACATGCAGTTTGGACAGCCTTCGGACTATGCATTATTTGCTGATGAAATTCTGTCTATGTTCTTGTATGCAACCTGTCATGTGGGGTCTGAATACCTAATTTTGAATAACAATTAAGAATTGTGGGGTCTGCTCATGGACAAGAAAGAAAAATCATCAAATTGTTAGAAATTATTTATCTGAACGTAGCATAAAATTCAGTTAGTAGTAATGCTTTCACGAGCAGTGAAGCATAAAATATGCTGTACAAAGAAACCGTTTTGCAGTATCATAGTATTGCACGGTAGCATTGCCTGCCAGCATTTTTGCTTCTACTTACAGGAGAATTAGTTATGAAATGTAAATATCTTTGATATTATGGGTTTCTGATGCTTATTAGCCATATTCTAATCACCTACCTTCTTCCTCCCCCCATTTTTCTTTGTACTTTCTTACTGATTTCAATCCTATTTTCCTCTTTTGTGCAGCACTGATCACATAATTGACTTTTTATAAATAATTTTAAGAATATTTCAGTTTGAATTCACACTATTCATCAGGAATGATGGTATATCAGTAGTGTTTTTCAAGCACAAAACTTATATAAAAATAGAATGAATTTCATTAAAATGAACAGTAAATCAAAGGGGAAAAATTTAAAAAGTAAAACTATTTTGATAAAATTAATTGATCTGATTAAGAGATCAGCTGTATAATATAACTGTTCATTTTACTGCTCTGAGAATTATTGTGGAACAACTTATATATAAAAACAATTCTGTCATTGTCAGTTATTTCTGTATTATACATTTTCCGTGCTTGTTTTTTTACTTGTCCTAGAAGGCCTGAAGAATAATATTCCAAGAAACAATAGTGTGTTAACACTTTTTTTTTCTCTCTAAAATCCAAGGTGCAGGAACTCCATGAGGAAGAAGTTCAGTGGGTGAATTATGATGAGGATGAGCTCTGTGTGAAGATGCAGTTGGCAGATGGGATATTCGAGGCCTTAATCAGAGACACTATTAATGTTCTGAACCAGATAAATGAAAAACAAGGGAGACTACTGCTTTTGTGACATCCGTGAAAATAAACCAAAAACTGCAAAACTTCTTGTCATGGGCTTTCTGACTCCTGACATATACTACATCTCCACCATAGCAATATTGCTGCTGGACTTTCATACATGTTTTTAAAGGCAGTTCAGATGCGATAAGGAAACACAGTACTACATCCCCCTGCCTTTAGAGACCTTACACTGGATTTGTTGTTGCAACTAAGCATGGTCCTTCACTTAATGCTGGCTTGTGATATAGTCACACCATCCTTTTGCTAATTCAGCACACACAGTATAAGTCAGCACCTTTCCATGGTATCAGACTGGGACTATGAACTTCAAATTGTACGCTGAAGGTGGTTGGATGCGGTTGGGTTGAGATACTGGTCACTTGGCCCAAAATTGCTGTCAGCAATCTAAACTGATCTTTAGAAAGGTGTATTGGATGATTTTGATAACTGCTTGTCAGTTTTTAGCCATAAATGGACATTACGGCAATTAATAGTGTTACATTATTAACCACTTTGTACCTGCAGTCCTAACAATATGCATCAATTTTTCCACTCTAGAGTCCATTTCATTCCCTTGAAATCCATTCCCATCTTTCTTCATGCAATGTGGTACCAGACATGATCGGTGGGCTAACAAAGGGGAAATTGGATGAGCTTGCTTTTTTGCATTCATCTAAAGAATTCTTACTTGTTTCCTGTCTAATTTGCTTCAGTCAAGAGTAAGAGCAAAGTAAAGGCCACCAAAAACTGGGCATAAGAGACTACACATTGGTCAGCTTTACTCCTACCAAGCAGCATTTCTTCAGCTCCTGAACTACCAGCAGCTCTTAGATAAATGGATACTCAGGATTCTCTCAGGCAGTAGACACGCAGGAGTGGAAAACGTTTCTTCACAAAACTATGGCCTTCAATAGCTCGGCTTCCTCCCTTGCTACCACCCAACCCTAATAAATCAGAGGAGCAGTTATTTGAACGATTAGGGAAATGAGTGTATTCACCAAAGAGAGTGATGTCCAGTGCTTGACTGTGTACTTGTTCTATGGTTGTGGGATTTTTAACTTATTTTAAGATAATTTATTAAATTGGAGTTAAGGAAAGTGTCCAGTGCAGTGGTTGCACTGTCTTAGGCCTTGAAACAGCAGAACCTGTGAAAGGTACCTATACTGCATCTGTCCTATACTATACTGCATCTGTCCTAGAAACTTCTAGGGTCCATATTCTTTGCACAAAAATCCAGCTTCTTGAGACAGAGGGGTAGAAAGAAATAAACCTCAGTGGTCAAATGTGGGAAGGAAAGTGGAAAACTATGAAAAGAGCTTCACCTGGGCAAATGCCAGCGATTGTGGAGTGTTTAAAGGAGTAATCTGAAGACAAGATGTGAAAATATTTTCTGCTCCCTTATTATCTGCCTTCCTTCTCACAAATGTTCTTTTTCCAGAGCGCTAGGCAGCCACCCTGTTGTATTTTTGGAGCTGTGCTCTTCGTCTTGAGTGCTTTCTTAATCTGTCCTCCCTCTTTGTGTTTCTTGGATGAACACAGACAATGTGGGGTTGAGTATTAATGCCTTACTAATGGAAGTCCTGTTTACTAACATGGGATGAGACCCAAAGCGGATTCATGTTCTCCAGGCACGTTGGAGTATTGAAGTGCATGCAAAAGCATGTTAGGAGGTACCCAAAGATGCTGCAGCCCATGATATGCATGTGGGAAGATTTCTGCTCTTTTCCTTCCATCTGTTTTTGTTTCTTGGGTTTCCTGCTATGCATACATGTGCTATTGCTCCATTCTGTTTTTCTCTCTTTCCATCTTTATATTTGGGAAACTGTCATTGAAATATTTGCATTTTGCACAATGACACACAACTGGTAATTTTTTAAATCAGGGACAGCACTGAGAAATGTTGGCTTTTCAACCCAATCAGATTCTCATGTGTGAGTTTATTAATGGTGAGCCATATCCATGAGAGCTTAATGAGCAAAGAACAAATAGGAGCAAATAGTGTCTTGGAACACCTCAGGGCACATGTATCAGTCTGTAGGTGGTAGTGTTCTTTCTAGCTGTCCAGAAGTCAGATGATTTCATGAGTGGTATGCATCTTTTTCATGAGTGAGTCACTTGTGTATGTAAATTAGCATCCTGATGCTGAACCTCAACACTGTCTTAAGCATTTGACAAAAACCAGCTACAGCTGCTGTTTAACCAGCATGGTGTCATTAATCAGGTCACTGTCTGATTCCTTTTCCTGGGCCTATCTTCTTTTCAACAGAGAATATTGTTATTTTTATAGATAGTTATAGAAGAGGGCAGAGGACCAGCAGAAGGAGAGAAACCTGCAAAGTAGGTCTGTGGCATAGGTATCATAGAAATAAATTAGTTTCCATCCCTAGGATCCCATGGCCATTGCTGAGATAGTAAGATAGACCTGCATCTTTGAGGCTTCCTGCTGGAATATAGAGTTTGTGCATGTGTGGTACGTGCGCCAGCACAGAGTGTATTGTACTGTCAGTCTATCAAGATGTGGAAGAAGACTGGAGATTACTTTTGCCCTTGTTGGCTTGAGTAAGCAAACATCTAGGTATCAGCTGCAGAAACAGTTGCTACCTTTCCAGCTCTTAGGGCAGAAAGAAACTGCGTAAAAGTAATGTTTTTGGAGAGATCACCATTTATTTTTGGTACCAATTTGTAATGGGAGCAGCCTAGACTAAAACAACTATGGCTGTTAAATTACATTCTCAATGCTTGATAATTGTTGAGGTACACTGTGGGCTAGGACTGATGATCATTGAGATTTGGTGATGGTCCTTTCAGGTCAGGCTTTGTGATCAATTGTTGAAGTAGTATGGGGAAGTCTTGAACTGAATAAAGAGAGAGCTGAATTTCACACACACACACACGCCCCTCTATCCCTTTTATCTCAAGCCCAAGTTCTGTCTGGGTCATGGTTGAATTATCTTGGTGCAACAGTGTTGGAAAATCCAAGGTTGAGGGAACATGGAAACTCCAGAATTTTTCTGAGCCCAAAAATAGGGTGGGCCCTCTATGGCAGAGTCAGAAAGCACTGGATGGAGTCGATATGAAGACCTATGTCCCTTTTCAGTCTAGGAGAAGGACTATTAATGCAAGGTAGAACTGTCCAGCATTGTGTGAATATGGAGAGAGACCACCTCTCTGACTAGGATAATTCCCAAGCTACAGATCTGGGCTATTACTACTTTACCTTTCAGAAAAGGTTTTGTTGCTCATAAGGTTTTGTGGCCTGTTTGAAAAATGTATCTTGTTCACTTTCCTTTCTTGAAAAAGTGGCCTTAGCTTTTTGCAATACTTGAATAAATTGTGTATGTGCAAAAGATTTTCAGTAGCACAGCGTTAGAGAGCATTTAAATAACTCTTCTGCAAAGAACTGAGTGTAGTTCAGACTTTCAGATCCCATTGCTACCTTAAGAATACTTGGGGAATAAATTACTATTCAGCAGAGTAACAGTTGAAACTTACAAGGTATTTAGTTCAAATTGTAGGAATTTTGAAGTGTTTACAAATCAGCTAAAATGGAGAAAAGCAAAATATCCAGAACACATTTGAAATATAAAAATTAAAAATGCAAAAATATATATAGATGAAAAAGGAGTACTGTAATTAACCTGCATTTAATAGGTTTTTTCCTTGACTTTGCAGAGCCTTTTTATATACATTTGCAAAGCCACCTTGGGAGACCCTCTCTCCCTGTGTACTGTATTGTGCAGATATTAAAATAAATAAATCTGTTTACTTTGTTTGTGTAAATAACCTGTTAACCTGGTTTCCAGGCCAGTTCTCAGCCAATAATCGCATCCAGTGCAGCTTTGCACAGTAGAGTTAAGGATGTGGGGGTTTTTTGTAATTATGAACTGTAAAATAACCAGGGTTTTCCCTGTGTACACCAATGTAAATATCTTTGTTAACTGAAATGTACTTTGAGGATAAAACCTGTAAATAAACTGATTTATAAATTAATTGTCTTATTTCCTGCTTCTTTATAAAATGGAGTATAATTACACAAATAGCTGATAATTCTGAAGGTGCCCAGTGGATTTGTTCTTGGTAACATATTCCTCCTTATCCGTGATGCTGCACTTTGGTCCCAATAACAATCTGCTAAATCCTATTATAATTGCCTTAATTGTAATAATACCTTATAGCATGTCCTTGCATGTTTGTTAAAGCTGGCTGAGTGTTGTGGCAAAAAACAGAAAAGTCATTGCTTTGTTTTTCAAAAATACAAGTCACAATTTTTAATTTGAAAGGTTAAAAATGAGTCATGGTAAACTTTTCATAATGGACTTTAAAAATCTTCAATTTAAAATTATACTAAAAATGTGTTTCAAATAGGAAATATCAATAATATATTTAAGAAGTGGATAAAATTTTCCTAGAAATGAACCTAGGTCTTGTGTTATATATTCCTAAATGAGATGGTTTTATGGGTCTGCTCTTGTCTTCTCTGAACCCATCTTCCTATAGTAAAAAGGAGTGTTCTCCAGAAGGTGCTGTTTGTTGCTAGGAAGGGAGCACTGCATCCATTACACTTGGTTCATATTTGGAAGATTATCTTCATAATTGTCAGGGTTAGAAATGTAGTAATTTTAAAAATGAAAGCTAATGGAGCTCTGCAGAAGGCTATTGAGCAGCGATGACTTTTACTGTAAATTGCAGAAATCACAGGATTCATGACAGCCAGGCTTCTTCATGATTAAATGCAAAAAAAACTAGCACTAATGCAATATTAAGGTTGCAAGATCAAGCACTTTGGTCTAGATGTTCCTACAACTAAGGTTGCTATCTAGCTATTTTAACTCCTCCACATTACACATCCTGTTTATTTGATGCTGTACATTGACAGAGTAATAGGTTAGGGTTTCCGTTTAATAAGGAAAAGAGGCATAAAGAATACTACCTATATGCATCATGGGAGACTTATTGTTGCCAGAGCAACCTTATCGTTTTGGAATTTCTTGGGAATTTGAGTGATTTCACAACTTTAATATTGCATTAATAATAATAATAATACCTAGCTCTTATACAGTGCTTTTAGTAGATCTCAAAGCACTTTACAAAGGTCAGCCTCATTGTCCCCGTTTTACAGATGGGGAAACTGAGGCACAATGCATCTGTGCCATCTTCATGGGCACGAAGTGTATGCATGTCGCAAGTGGGATCCACACGGACAACCTATCTGGAAGAACCACAGCTACTGTAAGATAAGTAACCTTTTGTTCTTTTTACAAATCAAGGCATACAGTATTCTGTGAGGACTCAATCCATGTTCGATTTCAAATTGGTTCTTTGTTCATGTGTGGTTGAAATTGTTTAAATAGGTGAGCAGAGACTTAAGCACTTCATTCCCAACGAGAAATGTTTTGGAAAATTCTTAGCAAGTAGGATCCAAGTTAGAATCAAGTCTTAGAGTGATTGATTCACTCAGGCTTTTGGATTTGAGCAAACCAGAGCTCTGAGGTAGGTTGGTGGTTGGACAAATGGGTGTAACACAGTAGTGTCTAAATTGGTGCTTCAAACAGGGAGAGCATACGTCGTTGTACATCGCCACCCTTGAACTAATTTTCACTGCATAGCCTGTCCTTTAGGACACATTGCTACTTGTCATAATGCCTATGCTTACAATGGGAGCATATTCACTGGGAATCAGTTTTGGGTGCATTTCAGGTTAGAAACTCAATCTTTTGGATTTGTCTTCATTTTTGAAAACCTTGGCAAAGGACAACATTGCCACAGCTAATTGGAGAGTGGTGCAGCAAACTGCCGCATCACTGCTTTGGGCCCTTCCCAAGACAGCCTGTAAACCAACTGATGCATTCCCATATTATTCCCTGATTTGCATATTCCTATTACTTCACCTTCGCATTGACTATCTACAGTATTAACACTTCCCTGCACCACTTAACGTGTACAATCACATTATAAATGCTTCCAACCAACCTCTCCCTGCCCTAGAATTTTGTTACCCAATGAAATTCTCTGAGTGATCAATGGCAGGGCACATACTTCCTAAAATTCACTGTGTTAATTCTGGTGGGCACTGTCTAGCATCTATTGTACACTCAGCTGCATCTTAATCTGGTGCTACACAGCCTATGATGCCTTGCTTGAAGAACATTGTTGGGCCTGAAACGTAACACTGCTTCAGATTTTGGAGCATCCTGCAAAGCAAAGTGTTTCTGGAAAGTTCAGTCCTTCATTTGAATGGACTGCAGAAAGAAAGGTGCTAGCCAGAAGACACTGCTCCAGGAGTCCACTTTAGAGCACAAGCATTGGAGGAGGACCGTTGCGGCTCACTATCTTGATGTTACCATTCTGTGGAAGCCCAGCCCAAAATGTGGGTAACTGGAAGGCAGGCTGGCTGGAAGAAATATGTATGGATTATAACAATGTTTACAGTAGATGGCATGATAAGGGTTGGAGATGCAAGCAAAACACAGTGCTCAGAAGTGCACTGGTTGCTGGAGAAGTGAGATGCAGTAGAGTCTGAAGTAACCAATGAACAAATAGAGATGTACCAGTGACCATCCCACCCTGAGTGTTATCTTCTTTCTTCCTCTGCCTTTCCTGCCCTTTCCAGGATATGGTGCTGTTTGAAATAGACACTGGAAAATTCCCAGGAAGGGATGAAGAACAGAGGCTACGGGAAAACAAATGGTTACCAAGATAGGGGACCAATGGGTGTTTATAGGAGAAGGTACTTAAAGTAGGACCGAGGGGAAAAAAAAGGGACATCTGAGGAAAGGTAGCCTCCTTTTCTGCAGGAGCTCAGAGGTAACCTTGTTAGAAGAAAAAAAAGGAGTACTTGTGGCACCTTAGAGACTAACCAATTTATTTGAGCATAAGCTTTCGTGAGCTATAGCTCACTTCATCGGATGCAATGAAGTAAGCTGTAGCTCACGAAAACTTATGCTCAAATAAATGGGTTAGTCCCTAAGGTGCCACAAATACTCCTTTTCTTTTTGCGAATACAGACTAACATGGCTGTTACTCTGAAATTTGTTAAGAGTGGGGAAAGAAGCCTTCGAATCTAGATGTTCATCTCAGCCTAGTTTTCCACCATTGGAGTCTAAATATATGAGACCAGCAATCCCACTGAGATCAGTTGCAGGTAGCTTCTACCAACAGACAGATCCAGGGCCTGGATTTGAAGTTTGATTTGTCTGTCTCTTTAACCTCTGTGGTGCTTGGTTTAGGTCAGTGGTTCTCAAACTTTTGTGCTGGTGACCCCTTTCACATAGCAAGCCTCTGAATGCGACCCTCCTTATAAATTAAAAATACTTTTTAATATATTTAACACCATTATAAATGCTGGATGAAAAGCAGGGTTTGGGATGGAGGCTGACAGCTTGCTACCCCTCATGTAATAACCGTGACCCCCTGAGGGGTCCTGACCCCCAGTTTGAGAACCCCTGGTTTAGGTGGTATCTAGGGTGATTCTAAACAAAATACTATATGTAAATCTGTTAGACGTGCAAGAAATTGGATTTAAAGGGGGAAAATGAAGGCCAAGGTATAAACTCAATCAGGTTATTTATGGATCTTGGTACTAGCAGACCTGTCAACCGGAATTCAATGGCAGCTGGACACTTTATTCCCTCTGGCTCCTTTGAAAATACCAGGGTAAAGTGCTAGCCGACAGTGGTACCAACTCTCTCAATTTCAGCACAAGTCTCACACTGTTTAGTGTTTGTCTTAAAAGTCCAAGCTATTGGAGCCATGTGACTATGTGAGAATCTTGGCCTTAATTTAAGAGAGAGAGAGAGAGAGAGAGAATGTTCTTAGGGTTCATAGTTGTGAAGAAAAGTTTGACAGCAGGACCACTTAAAGCCTCAAAAACTAGGGGGCAACTGAAAAGAGCCCCACATGAATTTTAAAATCACATTATTTTTAAGGAAAAGGAGTACTTGTGGCACCTTAGAGACTAACCAATTTATTTGAGCATGAGCTTTCGTGAGCTACAGCTCACTTCATCGGATGCATACCGTGGAAACTGCAGCAGACTTTATATATACACAGAGAATATGAAACAATACCTCCTCCCACCCCACTGTCCTGCTGGTAATAGCTTATCTAAAGTGATCATCAGGTGGGCCATTTCCAGCACAAATCCAGGTTTTCTCACCCTCCACCCCCCCCACACAAATTCACTCTCCTGCTGGTGCTAGCCCATCCAAAGTGACAACTCTTTACATAATCAAGTCGGGCTATTTCCTGCACAAATCCAGGTTTTCTCACATCCCCCCCACCCCCATACACACACAAACTCACTCTCCTGCTGGTAATAGCTCATCCAAACTGACCACTCTCCAAGTTTAAATCCAAGTTAAACCAGAACATCTGGGGGGAGGGGGGGGGGGAGGAAAAAACAAGAGGAAACAGGCTACCTTGCATAATGACTTAGCCACTCCCAGTCTCTATTTAAGCCTAAATTAATAGTATCCAATTTGCAAATGAATTCCAATTCAGCAGTTTCTCGCTGGAGTCTGGATTTGAAGTTTTTTTGTTTTAAGATAGCGACCTTCATGTCTGTGATTGCGTGACCAGAGAGATTGAAGTGTTCTCCGACTGGTTTATGAATGTTATAATTCTTGACATCTGGAAATGGCCCACCTGATGATCACTTTAGATAAGCTATTACCAGCAGGACAGTGGGGTGGGAGGAGGTATTGTTTCATATTCTCTGTGTATATATAAAGTCTGCTGCAGTTTCCACGGTATGCATCCGATGAAGTGAGCTGTAGCTCACGAAAGCTCATGCTCAAATAAATTGGTTAGTCTCTAAGGTGCCACAAGTACTCCTTTTCTTTTTGCGAATACAGACTAACACGGCTGTTACTCTAAAACCTGTCATTATTTTTAAGGAGTACTTGTGGCACCTTAGAGACTAACAAATTTATTTGAGCATAAGCTTTCGTGAGCTACACTAGTCTCTAAGATGCCACAAGTCCTCCTTTTCT